AACGACCTATGGGGGCTGTTGCCATAGAGCACCACGCGTGGAGCAAGAGGGCGCGTACACCGATCCTGGGCCCAGGGTGGACCTGGCCAGCCAGGATCGGTGCAGATTCATCGCTGGCGCCCTCCTATCTCTCGGCGGCGAGCGAGGGGGGGACGTGAGAAGGAACAGGCCCTCTCAGCAGGGCGGGCGACCTCCTCAGGAGCCCTCGCGCCTTCGGCTTCGAAGCCGCCTTCCAAGACGGCCGGGGGGACTTTGGAGCCCTCTGAGCAGGCCCGCCCCTTCTCCGCTTCCCCCCGCGGGGCTCGCCGCCGATCCTTGGCCTGCGGCGAGTCGGGCCCAACGGGCGGTCGAGCCAGCGGCGGGACGCGCGCGCCGCGAGCCGAGGCGCGGAGGCGCCGGCGGGCGCAGGGCTCTCGCCGCCGACTCTCCTCGGCGCGCGGGGACGCCCCGCTGCTCCCACCTCGTGTGCCCCTGCCCCGCCTGTGGTGCCCCCCCCCCCCCCCCGGAGGAGGAGGCGGAGGAGGCGGAGGAGGCGGAGGAGGAGGCGGAGGAGGCGGAGGAGGAGCAGGAGGAGGAGGAGGCGGAGGAGGCGGAGGAGGAGGAGGAGGAGGAGAAGGAGGAGGAGGAGGCGGCGGAGGAGGAGCTCCTCCCCAGAGCGCCCCTCTTTTTCCTCGGGCCAGCCGGGAGAGCACCGCTCGCCCGAGCTGCCGAGCCGCGCTCCCGAGCCGCGCTACCGAGCCCGCCCGGCTCTCCGCTCCTCGGGGGCCGCGGCCGCGGGCGGGCCGCACACCGCAGCGGCCCCCCCCCGCGCCGGGCTCTCGCCGGCGAAGCTCATCCTCTCGGGGGAGACAACGGGGGGGGCGATCACTATGGCTGGCCTGTATTCCACCACCACCATAAGTTGGAGGGGGAGGGGGTCCTCCTCCTCCTCCTCCTCCTCCTCCTCCTCCTCCTTCTTCCCCCCATCCAACTGATGGTGGTGGTGGTGGACAACAAGCCCATCATGACTAGGGGGGGGGTGGACATCATGGCGGGGGCCATGATGATCTCCCCAGATTTCAACGGCGCCTCTTCTTGTTTCAGTGCGTTCCCTGGCCCACCGCTGGGCCGCGCACGTGCCGCTGGCCATGATTTGCCCCCCCCCCCCCTCTTGGACGCCCCCCTTCTTCGCTGACCCCGACTCTTGTGTGGGAAAGTGCGGGAAGTGTGGGGGGAGGGCGAAGAGCCAGAAGCTATGGGAGAGTAGCGGGAAGCCTGGGAATTGTGCCTACTGATCTACGTGTCCCAGGGCCCCTCTCTCGCCCCCGGACATCTCTCCTCCTGCTTCCCAGTGCGGTGCCCCCCGAGGTCTCGACCCGGCCCCCACGTCCCGTGCGCCCAGGTCTCAATCGGCGAGCGCCTCGTCGTCGCCGCCGTCGCCGCCGTCGTCGCCCGGCATCGTCGTCGTCCGTCCGTCCGTCCGTCCGTCCGTCCGTCCGTCCGTCCGTCCGTCCGTCCGTCCGTCCGTCCGTCCTTCGTCGTCGTCGTCGTCGTCGTCGTCGTCGTCGGAGTCTCCCGCCTCCACGAGGTCGCCCCGGCTCCGGCGGCCCCTGCCCCGGCGGGCGCCGGACCGGTGCTCCTGCCGATCAGCAGGCGGCGCTCACGCCTGGAGGTGAAGGTGGACGCAGGCCTGCCGGGTGGATCCCGTAGAGGGCCACATGCGAGACCTACTCCTACCCCCCACGACTTCCGAGGGGGAGGCTGGGGTTCACTTCGTGCGGGGTAGGGGTAGGGTTCGCATTGTGGCCCCCTATCCCGACGACAGCACACTCGTCGTCAGGAGCCCGTGGGCGAGCCGCTGTCGCGATGGCTCGCCCGCGCCCCAGGGTCACAGGCGGCGGCGCGTCGAGCCCCGGCGTGCTTGCGCTGTGACGGGGTGCGGACGGGAGGCTTCCACGTCGTTCTCGGCCTCTGGGGGCCCCCAGCGGTGTCTCTCAACGGCTCAGGATGAAGAGCTGGTCCCAGGGAAAGGGTCGGGATTTCGAGGAGGAGGAGGAGGAGGAGGAGGAGGAGGAGGAGGAGGAGGAGGAGGAGGAGGAGGGGGAGGAGGAGGAGGAGGAGGAGGAGGAGGAGGAGGAGGAGTGGGTGGAGAGGAGGAGGGAGGGGGGAGGAGGGAGGGAGGGAGGGAGGACCACCCGTTGACAAGTTCACGACGTCCTCTGTCTAGGGCGGGTGCGGAGTGAGACAGGGGGCCGTCATTCCTCCGGGGGCGGCGGGGCCTCTCGGGAGCCCGCCGGCCTTCTTGAGAAGCCTGTGGCTTCGGAGGAGGCTTGGGAAGTTGCTCAGACGGTCTGACGCCTTCTGGGCCTCTTGTAGGGGAACAAAAAGTGGCATAAACATAAAAAACTCAGAGGTCCGCGCGGACCTCCGAGTTTTTATGTTTATGCCACTTTTTGTTCCCCTACAAGAGGCCCAAGGCGCCAAGGCGAGAGCCACATCTTGAAAACCACCCGCCCTCAGT